CCCCAAAACCCCAAAACCCCAAAACCCCAAAACCCCAAAACCCCTTTAAAGGCAATAATTTATCGTTTTGTAATAATTTATAGCAACATGGACACTAAAGTTGACGAAAACATTGAGACCTTTTACGAGAGAAACAACACGAATATCCCCCAGGTGGAGGTTAACCACTACTTCAAGGATAATCAGTACCTCCTGGTTGGTGATTCTAAGGCAGACCAGAAGGCTTCCAATCAACTTAAACTTTATAAAAACTTCCTTGTGAGTAAGAGAATACAACAGAAAAGAAGGGGATTTGATTTTCCTTCTATTCCAGATGATAACCATCCTAGAAATCACAGGATTCAGCGCACTCAGGAACAATTTGGTGAACTTGAGATGAAAAGAAGAGAGGATAACAGCCTAGATTCGAGAAAAGTTGAGTTGCCAGAGCCACTTTTTGAATTCAACCAATCTGATCTGAGGCAGTCGAAATATTATGGGTATCCAGAGCCGGAAAATATTGGATTATTAGAAGAGTATAAGCAGGTATCTTATCCAGATGTCTTTCATCCTGAGGGAAGTGCCGGTTATGAGCCATATAATCCGGTCCAACTTGATCAAATACAGGAACCTCAAGTAGAAAAACTACAAGAGACCAAAGATGAGGTGATGGAAGTTGAAAATCCAGAGCCAGTTCCTCAAAGAATGCCAAAACTTCCTCCTGCTCCATCAAAGGATAACTATGTTGTTCATCATGTAAAGCCTAATGACACTATCGGCAAGCTATGTCTGATGTACAATGTCAACAAGGATGTTATCCGAATGGCAAATGATTTCACTGGTGAAGAGATTTACATGTTCAAAACTCTGAAAGTTCCATATACTTATGGAAAGCTATACGAAGACAACACTACCAAGAGTGAGGAACAATATAAAAAGGAATTTGCCATCAGTTCAATGAACAGAGTTCTGAAGGAAGCACACACAGGAAAGCAAATTAATTTTGACAAAGAAGCACATTACTATTTGGAGATGCACAATTATGACTTAAAGAAAGCACTTGAAGAGTTTGAAGCTGACCTTGAGTTCGAGAAGCAAGTCGTTGAAGACAACAGACAGTATAAAAGGTAAAAACCTACTTCTGTTTACTAGCGCTGAATATTTTCAGTATGATCTAACATAAATTTAGAAGAACAAGCAGACAAAGAGTTGGAATCTTCAGTTGCTTCGGTTAACCTGCTTCTTTAATCACTAAATCCAAACCAATAAAAATTTGTCTCTAAGGGGTTTTGGGGTTTTGGGGTTTTGGGGTTTTGGGG